GTCGGAGTTCTAATGAAGCAGATATACAGGTAATAAGGTTGGTGATAGAGACAGGTTTGACAATTGATGGGCCTTATCAGTGGAAGACTTTATCTAAACATAGATGCTACCGATAACAGCTGCTCCATAATTTCCATGTATGTCTATTTGTTTACTACCTGTAGTAAATCCATACTAAAGGCAATTTCTGTCTTAAGAAGGTCCAATTTAAGGACAACCCTTTAGATACAAACAGGCTACCTATTACTAAAAGTAGCAGCTCGCATTCTCCTTCCTTGAGCAGATAAACTGCTGAAGCCATGCAATGCTTTCAGGAACTGCTGAAGTGGCAGTTTTTAATATATAGCCTGTTTCCAACAGTTTGTGAAAAGCTTTATTCATGTTCTTTATTCATATTCAATAGTTTTATCAGTTCAAGAAAGGACAACACAATCTAGAGCTGCGGTGGTGCAGTGGTTAGAATGCAGTACTGCAGGCTACTTCTACTGCCTGCCGGCTGCCTGCAATTTGGCAGTTTGAATTTCACCAGGCTCAAGGTTGAGTCATCCTTCCATCTTTCCGAGGTTGGTAAAATGAGGACCCAGATTGTTGGGGGCAATATGCTGATTTAGCTCACTTAGAAAGGGTGTAAAAGCACTGTGAAGCGGTATATAAATCTAACTGCTATTGCTATTGTTAGTAAATCCATTTGTAAGTACAAATTCTATCTTACATACAAATTCAGCTTAAAGACAGTGTTATGAACAGAACTCATTCTTAATCCAGGACTGTGTCACAGGGTCTTTCTGTATATATCCAATTCAATGGGCTCGCAATACCCACGCCACCTCCTTGGCCTTTAGGCAACCCTCACACCAGCAAACCCTAGGTAGTAGTCCCAGATTCCTCCCCATGTCCACTACTGTTCCTTACTATCAGTAGTAAACTATAGTTTTTATTAACTACAAGTTGCTTACAGTTTCCTACAGAGAATAGCAAAACGCACAACCCTTCTCACTCCCAGAACTCTTCACTGCCAACTGCTCCACAACCAACAACAGACCACATCAGCTGCTTTGCTACAGGGTTGTTATAGCTGCAGGGCACCATCAGCCCAGGTGCTAGCTAATCTCAGGCATGCCTCATTTAATACCCTTTCTTAGGATGTTTTATTGGGCTCCAAGTATCTAAAGGCATCTAGATTTTTACCATCAGGAACATGACATCTTGATTTAGTTTGAGGTATAATAACCTAACATATTTAAATCTTTGGTTCTGTATAAAAATACCCAATTATTATTGTATGTAGGTAGATGGCAAAAAAGAACAGATATACCTCATACAATTATAGACAATTATACATTAAACTATCACTATAAATAAATAAAGAGGGGAAGAGCAAACTTTATCAATATGTAGAGCAATTATTTTTTATTGTTTTAAAGCAACAGGTAATAGTTTTTGTTTTTCTGAGAAATTCTACAACTTTTATTCTTCAATTTTATCAATCAGACAATTGATAAAATTAAAATAATACTTTTATTAGATATCCAATAAAATTATGTCACCTTACAAATTAATGATTTCAGATCTTGTAAGAAACCTGAAAAATTGTTGCAGCATTAATCTATTACATTAGTTCTTCTAGTTTCAGCTAACAGTCTGTTTTTTAAAGGACAAAACTGGAAATATGCCCCAGGAACAAACCATGTATCATAAAAATTAGATTGAGTATGAAAGAAAACATAGTTTTTTTCCCCCAAGCCCAGAACAAGCCCATTGTATTCTGGATAGGCAATGATTCGGTAGACCAAGAAAAAGAAAAAAATACAAAACAAAGCCCTCAGGACAAGACTGCTGAATGCATATCACATCCTCCCTCCCCACAGCAATACCACTACTGATGTCCAACCACAGCAACCCGCCCAACCCTTATATTTCTATCCCTTTCCTTTCCTACCATCTACCTTCATCTACCATACTTGGATTTTATATGTTCTTATTTCCCAAAAGAATTATCTCTGGAACAACTACATTGCGATCTACATCTGGTTCAAAATAGCCCCATTTCACTCTGTATCTGGCCCAACCTCCATGTTTCACTTTAAATGAAACTGCTGAAAACAGTTGTTCCATGAAAAGAATGATTCATGCATGACCTGTTTTACACATCCCAAATTTGTACCGTGTTTTACTACACGTGGTTAATTGATGCTATCTGCCATTCCTTCAAGCAGAAAATTCACTCTAATATACAAGAGAATAAAAGTGTTGGAGCAAGAAAATAGCGGTACAGATGCACATATATTCTGAAAAATCAGTTTCAGTGGAGTAAAGTGATTTTCTACTTGGCATCAGACATCCTACTCATGAAAGGTGGGAATTTGTTTTAAATTAGCCAAAATATTTGAGGATGCAAGTTAATATTCCAACTTGAACGCTTAACTTAAATGGAAACAGTGCAATAAAATAAGTCATTCACTTGCTGCAAAGTGGGCAATCTAAGACTGAGTTCTTTTTCTATTTGGGAATATGTGATAGTTGGTACTGAAAACAAGAGTGGTATAAACCCATGAGATTTTATTTTTTTTATTTTTTATTTTTTTATTTTTATTTGATTTATATGCCGCCCTTCTCCGGAGACTCAGGGTGGCTTACAATGCGTTAAGCAATAGCCTTCATACTTTTGTATATTTATACAAAGTCAGCTTATTGCCCCCACAAACTGCGTCCTCATTTAACCTACCTTAGAAAGGATGGAAGGCTGAGTCAACCTTGAGCCTGGTAAGATTCGAACCTGCAGAAATTGCAGAATTTTCTCTCTAATGGTATCTTTTTCCTCTTTTTTGACACCCTCAACTCTTTTTTCTTAAGCAGCAGAGAAGGGACTCAGGATGCTATTTTTTAACCTGAAGTAGTTGTTTTTTTAAGAAATCTCTTTAAATCAGTGCTTCTCAAATGTTTCCTTCATTACTCAAAACTGTTTATCAGAAAGTCCTTTTTACACTTACCCAAAAGTCCTTATTTAAATGTCCCTATTGTCATTGGGTAATGGGTTTGTGTATTGTTAAAGAAAATCCATTTTTACCCAATTTTGAATAATTTATTCAGGCTTCATAAACTCTGCTTTAAATTATTTCGAACTTATTATATAAACTGAAAACTAAATGATTAGTGCCAAGATAAATGCAGTCCTCTTGCCTTGTTCTTGTTGAGGAAGGTGTATATATGGTGTATATAATATATAAGCGTATTTATTAAAATATAGACCAAGGATCAATCAAAATTATTTGCCAGATATTGAAGGTATATGCAAAAATTCAAAACAATGTCACTCTTAATATTTTTTGTTTGTTATAATAATGAATTTTTTAAATGAAAAATGGGTTGATGGGTTTAATATTATTTATACATGATTCAAGAATGTTTATTGAATGGGTCTTGAAAGCAGAAAGTTTAAGAAAGACTGATATTTTTGCCAAACCAAATTATTACAAATTGATAATTTGTAGCTTCTTTATTAAATAGCAAATTAATAAAGGTATTGCTATAATTTAAACATATAATAAATGCCTTCAAACAGGATAGAAATATATGTTTAAACATGAGGGGAAAATGCTTACATTAGCATATATCATAGTTTTAATATTTAATAAGGAATACCTTCAGCAAGTAAGCATGTACCCTCATGTAATTTCAAAACAATACATATTACGATAATTCAGCATTTTATATTTCTAACAAAAATATTATAGTTCTATAAGTCAAACATCCTTTTTATTTTCATTTTTTCCCAATTCCCATGGGATTGGGAAACTATAATTGGAATGTAAATATATAAACAGGTAGCTTGAAGGGAAAAGCAATTGAAATATGGTTTCAGAGAAGGATCTCATTTTGCAAAGCAATTGTGCAAAAAGTAGTAGTGATGAAATGCACCACTACATAACACTGTCTGTGGCAAACACCACTCACTATAAATAGAAATTAATGAACTTTTAAACTGGGATGCATTTTCAGTTTTACAGACAGGAAAATTTCAAAAGTAAGAGATTCTGGAAAAAGATTAGCTCTATCCATGGTCAAAGATAACCACAGAATGAACAAATGATGTTACTCACATTATATTGTTATTGCATGATATAAATTACATGCTTTACATTGTTTGAATCATGATGTGGCTGATACATGTTACATTGTGGATTGTTCTGGATTTCTATGGTTCTTTTTATACTATCCTATACCTATAGTAGTTACTGTACTAGACCTCTTACTTTTGTTTGTAAGTCATATTTTATAGTGAAGTCTGATATGTAAATCCAACCAACTGCAACTAACAAATTGGATTAGTGTTATCTGTGCTATTCTTATTTATATATACACATTACAATAGACCTTTGTCAGTGTAATGGAAATGTATGAACTTTCTGGCTTATTTTTTAAAATCTTGGTAAGTCTTCAAGGTTCCTAAATATTTTTTTCCCAAAGAGCCTGCAGTTAGACCTGACTAATAGACAGGGGAATGAAACAGAATATAAAGATAATCAAATGGAAAGATAATTTCTGTTTCATTGTTCATTAGATTTTTCTTTCCTATAAATTCCATCCCACTCAACATATTTTCAAGAGACATAAGGAACAAAGAAATTCAGCGTCTATTTTCCCGATATGTGAATGGCCTTTAATTTCAAGTTTGTATACGTATGTATGACAAAGCCCTGAAGTATGTATAAGCTGCTGGAATGTCAGGCAAATGAAATTATTTACAGTATTAGGCTTTAAAGAATTAACCCAATGTCCAAACACACAATGAAACATGCAGCCCAATCGTTTGCAACCATGAATAGGTGTTCAACTTTTCAATATCTAGCAAATGATCAACAGATGTAAGAGTTGTTATATAAATTCTATAGTGTAATAAACCAGCGACAAGCAAAGAATGATGAGGATGTAAAGAAAACAAGTAAAAATAAAGAAAGGTGGAAATGGTAAGATGACTTGTCTGTACTTGAATGTCTGACCTGTTAGTTGATCGTCACCTGCAGCAGGGGCGATGCGAATGTATGGTGTTGTAAGCTGAGTCACGATTATCGCAGCTAAGGCAAAGGAAGATTTCCAGGTCAGCATGCATGGGAAAAAAAAAAGCCAGACTGAAGCTAAGCTAGCAAGAAAAAATTTGTTCCATTTTAATTGTCTTGATTAAGGAAGGAAGGAAGGAAGGAAGGAAGGAAGGAAGGAAGGAAGGAAGGAAGGAAGGAAGGAAGGAGAAGGGAGGAAGAAATGCGGAGGGAGGGAGGGAGGGAGGGAAGGAAGGAAGGTAGTTGTTAGGAATGATTTACACTAATTAATTTCTTTATGTAACTGAAAAATGTCTGGGTACACAATCACGTGAATAAAGGTTAATGTGAACTGAAGTAACTGAAGTATACATGGCAATATTTTTATTATCATAGCTTCTGTAAAAAGATAATCACAAATTTCAGTATGTTTTTTGAATAACTAAATGTAATTCATTCTTCACTCATATTTGTTCATCCAGTTATACAGAACCATATATTGTACAGAACAGTAGCAAAGTAAACCACTTTCTGATGTTCTTTGTATACCTTTAAAACTGCCTCTATGTGTACTACCTTGAAGTATCAGAAGAAAGGCAGAAACTCAGTGACAAATAAATAAAGTAATTTCTTTGACAATAATGTTTACAAATAAATGAAGCAGAAAAAATAAATATATATATGAAATATTGTATTGGATTTTTGAGTGGGATTAATATAAACTGAATAAATCCATAAATAAAGTTCCTTAAAACACCAGCAGAAAGGCAGTAGTCACACCCATGTTCATTACTATATGAGCATTCTTAAATTTAGAGGTCTTTATCCTATATACATTTTTTTAAAAAAAATCAGTATGTTTCCTATGTTAAAAAATATTGTAAACACCCTCCCAATTTGAAAACTTAGTTGTATCTTAAGTTAGAAATGTTGAACCCTAACAGATACAGGTAGTCTTTGCTTAGCGACTATTTGTTCAGTGACAGTTAGAAGTTATGATGGTGCTGAATGAAGGGATTTCTGACCATTCCCCAAAGTTACAGTCATTGCACATCTCCACAGATCATAGAGCTGTGGTTTATGGGCAGTGGTGGGATTCAAGTAATGAAACAACTGGTTCTCTGCCCTAATGATTTCTTCCAACAACCAGTTTGCCAAACTGCTCAGAAAGTTAACAACCGGTTCTCCCGAAGTGGTGCGAACTGGCTGAATCCCACCACTGCTTATGGGGTAACTGCAGCTTTGCGCTGTGTTGCTGGGCCAGACTAAGGCTTCCAGGAACTTTGTGCTATTCTGCTGGGCTGGATCTGGGATAAGTTCAACTTCACACCACACAATAATGCTGAACTGGCCTGGTTTCCTAGAGTTACTGCAGCTTCAAGCCATAGCACACTGCTGGGATGGGAATGAAGGTTTCCAGGCATGCCAAGAAACCCAGGTGGCAAGCAGTTCCAGAGCCATGTGGTCTTGGGCTGTTTGCTGCCCCTCAAGCAGGATGCAGGGCAGCCAAAGGACAGAGAGGAGGGAGCAAGCAGATGGTGGGAGTTGAAGAGGACCTAATCCCTCTCCTTGGAAGAATCAAGGTTCTGGACTCAGAGGGATTGGGGTGGGTCTTCAGCTAATGGCCACTGGAATTCAGTCAATGATGGAAATGGGGAATGCCTCGATTGTCATTATTAAGCAATATGGTCATGTGATATCGAAATTTATGATGGTATTGTTTAGTGACAGAAATTCCAATCCAATTACTGTCATAAATCAAGTACTATCTATAATAAATAAAATGTTTAGCTGGGCTAAGAGCCAAAACTGGATAATAGCACCAGAGACACCTGAATGTATATATTTGGAAGGTAGACATTCCTGCAGGAAGTGGGGTGGGAAGTAAAACAGATTATTGAAATTTTACTCCTTTTAATAATGCATGCATGGATCGCATGCATATAAAACTAACAGACTCTGATTGCCCAGTTGTACCCATAATTTTAATGCTTGTGATTCCTTTGATGGATCTTCCTACCTCTATGTTCTTGAAAGATATTTGCAAACAGCAGTCTGAGGTGAAAGGAAGCATGTTGTTATTAACAATAGGATAAGTTTCTTCCAGTGACATGTTCCCAATATTACATATACAGTGCATACAAATATAGGCTATTTGCGAAATTCATCTCTTTCTTAACTGCTTTTCTGGGTATATTGTGTCTTCCTTTTTCCTGTATGTTTTTAACGTTTGTATAATATCCATGGCAATTTTTTCTTATTTTTGATTTATAAATAAGGTTAGTGGAAGGCATAATTTAAAAGACATATTTCTGTAATAGTAATTTTAAGAGAACTGTGAGTCACAAGTATCTATGAATCTGAAACTCAAATTAAGTCATTATCATTATCAAGTATACAAATATAAACACTACTACTACTACTATGATTTATTATATAAATAACAGGTTGTACTTCTGTTTAAATCTGGTTGTAGACTAATGATGACAGAAACATAAGTATTGTCTCTTTTATAAATATAACGACTTTAAAAAATTGCAGACATACAGTATTTGCAATATATATTTAAAGTTTTTCCATACTGAATTGTTCCTAAGTCTTTAGACATGCAATGGATGATGTATTTGATGGAAGAAAGGATATGAGTAAAGCAACTTTAAATGTCAGATTCAGCATGCACAATATTATTATGCTACATCTGAATTCTGGCATGGCTTAAAAAAACCCTGAAAAGTAAGAGAGAATGGTTTATATGAAAACTTAAATTTATACAGATACGTTTGATTAAAATTAGTATGTAGCAATGAATGAAGAAATGAGTTTATTCCCTATGTGCAGACATTAAAGGTCAATATTGCTATGTCATAGTATTTTGAAATATCTCCATGTAACTCTGAAACACTGGGATGTAGTAACTTGTGTAAGACTGTTGATAAAATACTTAAATAAAATATAATAAAAAATATTAGGTTTCTTTCTATGACTGACATGGACTGTTATTACAAAACAAAGTTTGAACTATTCCAGTAATATCAAAACTATAGTTTGATTTATGGTTTTATTTCTCTGGGACAAATGTGATAGTGTGGATGAAGGTTTGTTGTTGCTATTTCCATGAAAATCTGGCTCAGAAACAACTTAGGCTGGAAGGAACTAGGAAGCTAATGTACCTATTTTTAAAATGCAGATGAAAACATTAACATTTATTATGTTTTATAATATCATTTGGATTTTTTGTTTTATTCTTATTCTTATTGCTAGCCTGGAGTGGGAACTTTTTTTTGGTGGAAAAACAAGATGTTAATAGAATATAAAAATAAAAATTACTAAATGAAACAACTGCCCATATTTCTATAAATGTAAGGTAAATATAATGTTCTGTAGTTAGTTGTACTGTAGAAATTCAACTTATTCAAATTTATCTTTTATGTATATGTAGCAATCCTAATAAATAGAGAGAAGCAGCAGCATTTCCTAAAAAATGAATTTCCATATTTATACTTTTGATGATGGACCAAATTAAACCAAACTAATCCATTTGGAAGCCATTTCTTTCCCTTTTTTCACTTAAATGGCAATAATTTAGGGATACAAGAAAGCATGGGTGCCTCTGCACTATCCACTATAATGCATAATGCTTCAATTCTTAGTTATCAATATTTTGGAAAATAAATTTTGGGGACTGTACAACTTACACTTTTCTTCTCAGGAAAAATCTACAAGTATGGACAGAGTCAGATACAGCTTATCAAATGCATTGAAGTCACTAAAGCCTCTACCTGCAATAATTTATTTGAGAAGCTTCTTTTCATCTTATTTCTTTGTTCTATCCTGTTATAACTGATTTCCTAAGCGTGAAAGGAGACAGGTATGGTGCTCTGGCATTGCAATTACTGCATATAAAAATGTATTTATATATAGTATTTAGTTAAATATCTCATATTTGTACAAGCACTTCAATTATTATGATTGAATGATAATTACCCTTACATTGCTATACATAGTAAGCATCTCTTGTTTGTGTGTTAGTGAGTTTTCTCCTAATATTTCCCATATTTCTCCCATATTTATGGGACATAAATATTTTATTTCTGCAAATGTAATCTGAATCAATTAATCAATCAATCATTTTAACAAAAACTTAACAAAAGCATTAATGGCACATTGATCTTATACACGAACAACACTCTGCCTTGATTCCCAGAACTATCAAATATAGAAGACTAAAGGGCTCTTGTTCCTTTTTTGCCCAATCTCATGTAGAAAAAGTTTCCTTGTCATGGACATAATCAATTGATGCAATATTTTTGTTGTTATTATGGCATGAATACCTAACGTTGCAAATAAAAGCAACCTTTGACCAATAACTCTAACCAACAGCCATGGTGGTGCAATGGTTAGAATGCAGTACTGCAGGCTAACTCGTTGTTCACACCAGGAGTTCGATTCTGAGTGGCTCAAGGTTGATTCAGCCTTCCATCCTTCCGAGGTCAGTAAAATAAGGATAATCTCTTGGGGACAATGTAAATTGCTTAGAAGGGGCTGTAAAGCACTATGAAGCGGTATATAAGTCTAAGTGCTATTGCTATTGCTAACCCGAAATCATTTGGTAGGGAAAAAAAAGCATGATACAGTTACAATAAGTTAACATAACTGACTAGTGCACAAAACACACTTGGCAAGCAAAAAATAATAATAATAATAAAAAAAAAAAAATTGGCAAGCAAGAAAGGGATAAGGACCGATACAAATCAAATGCTACCTGGAAATATATTTTCCATACTAACTGGGTTACTTATCTTTAACATGTTAATTTAACATTAATATAATGTTAAATACCAACATTATATTTTTAATAAAACTGTAATACACCTATACAAAAGCAGAATGACGTGCAAGAAACAAACACAAAGATTTACTTACTGTAGCAAGTAAGTAAGAAATATTTTAATATTCATATCTTATACTTCAGTGAATCTTTGTAATAAATAAAGAGCCAATTTAATATAGTGTTTCTGTTTCCATTATGCTGGAAACAGAGAGACAGTGAATGCTAGTTGTGCTTTAGGCACAAAACTGACTGGGTAACTTTGGACCAGTCAACTTTCTGAAGTCTAGGAAGGAGGCAATGGCAAACCTCATCCAAAAATCCTGCCACAAAAACTGCAGGGAGTTGTTCTTGCTAGAACAAGATTGCTTAAAGCTGCACATACACACAAACACCACCAACTGCTAACTGTTATTAGTATTTTATATACAGGCACTCCTTGCTTAGCAACCATAATTGGGACTGGAAACTTGAATGCTAGGCATAGTGATCACTAAGTGAAAATCATGTGAAAATGATCAGCTTATGATTTCATTCCCCCTTTGGTTGTTAAGTGAAGTATTGCTGTTGCTAATTGAAAGATCATGACAACAACCTACTATTTAACATCTGCTTTCTCTATTAACTCTGGTTGACACAAGCCTGTTCCAAAACACACAAATAGCAATGATTTGATTGTGAGATGCTGTGATGGTCATAAAATTGAGGACTTTAAAGTTGAGGAAGCTATTTTTTAAACTTCAAATGGTTGTTATATGAGGCAGTCAGAAAACGAGGATTCCCTGTATTGTACTATTCATCAAAACCTATTATTCAAATGTAATTTATATTTAAGTCACAGTATAACCAGATAATATAACTATTCTATCTTCACTGCAGTCAGCTTGCCATAATCAACTAAAAATACCCTTTCAAAATTCAGCTGGAGAAGACATATTAAATGAAGTTTCTTAGAGAAATCTTATGTTGTCCCAATTTTTTGTTTATAAACAGACTTTCCAGAAAGCTTGCTTCTGTTTCCCTTGCAGAATTAGTTATGGGCAGAATATTACCAGGATATAGTAAAGAATAAATGTTATTACTAAGATTTATGTAAAAAATAATGCCAGTATTGTAACACAAAAAAATGTATTTATGTCAGGTGTTAATGCGTCTCCATAGATCAAATGCCTATTCAGACATTATTTCCATTGTGAAAATGTATCACAGGGATTAAAAACACAATTAAAATATTTTAAATAATTGCATTAATTATTTAATAGAATTAAATAATTGGCCAACTATAGGAATATAGTTCCTGCAGAATTATTTTGAGATTTCAGTCAATTTCATATATGTAAGTAATGTCTGAGGTCAGGGGACTCCATTTACTCGTGTGTACATTACAATCAACAGGACAACAAATAGATAACAAGTGGCCAGCCTTTGTTCAAAAACATGGCTAAAAACAGTTCTTGCTTTAATTATTGCCATTCTGGGAGGAAATTGCCAAACAAGTGCTACACATTTGGCCCCAGTCCTATATCCCTGACAACACTACAGGCTTTTCAAAAGTTTTACAAAATATTCACAAGGATGCTTTTGTATCATAAAATGAACTAGCATATGTTTTAAATGAAAGCTGAATCTTATCTTTTCCCTTTCACTAAGAGGCTACTTTGATATTATTTGTTGCTATGGTACCAACTTCAGTGCAGAGAATATTTCTTGTTTTGATAAGCATAAGAATAAAAAAGTTCAGCTACCAAAAGATAAAACATGGGCAGAATAACTTCTAAATAAAAAACAGATTACAATAGTTAATATTTTATCCATTTATAATAAATTATTCTTCTTGGTTAATTATTTAACTCTGGAGTTAAACAAAATTCCATTTGACTAGGAATAATATATGGAAGAAACTTCATTATTGTTCATTACCATCAGTTGTGCTCTTTGTGCTAACGTTTATATGGACTATATAATCATGAAGAATACCCAAAATCAATTAATTGCCTATATTTCTCTGTAAAATGAGTATCAGTCATATAATCATGCCAAAATAATATGTTATAATAATGTATAAAATAAGTAGCACTAGTGTCAGCAATGTTTTTGAGATGTGCTAAGAATGTTAAAAGAAAAAAAATTGCACGTACAACAATTCATATCTTGGGCTTTCTGATTCCATTTATCCTAAGAATATTTGTAATGTATGAAAAGCCAACTTTCAATTTTGAAGCACAAATCAACGAAAATTCTTTGCAACACAATGTAAGGAATTGTTATAAATAGAATTCATAAAGCTTTGCAAGTCTTTCCCAAAAGTTTTTATTGGAATTATAGTTCTATAGATCTATTTTTTACAGAATGTTCCAGATGGTGTGGATTAGTCTCTGTTTTCTGATACAGAATCTAGCTTTCCTAGCATTTGACCAAAATTTTAAAAAAATATTTTTGAAATTTAAATGCATCATTTCAATATCATGCTTTTATTGCAGTTGTTAAAACAGCGATGTTCCTAGCATCCTAGATATGTGTTATCCATTTCTCATACATAATGCTTAACATTAGGCAAACAGCAGCATCAGAAAGCCACAAATAGAAAATGGAAAAAATGGGGAAAATCATATGCAAATATTATAAGACTATGACTTCTATATTAAATGAACTCACTATTTCCATTTGTTATACATTTAAGTAATCTATATGTAATATCATAAAAGGATTTTGTAAATCTTGTTAACAATATATAAATAATCTGGTACAGATTTAAAGCTAGAAAGAACTACACAATAGGAGCATACCTTTAGTAGCCACTCTGACGCAGTCAATTTTTGTTTCCTATAGCAGATAAAAAAAAAAAGATTATTTGCTGATTTACATCCAGAAAAATAACAAGGGTTTGTTTTTAGGTGCGTGTCAAACCACTGTTATGCTCAAAAACCATGTCAATTTTATTTAATATCTTCGTGCTTAACAATTGCCTCTCTAGTTTACTTCATTTCCCTGTTAAAGTTAAATGAATGAAAATGTACTTGGACATGTAACATCAATATTTCACTTAACATTAAACTAGAACATGAATGAGATATTAGCCATTATACTTTTTTTTTTCCTTCTGACAATACATTGACCTTGGGATATTTTATTTTCTTTACAGTCAGTTAGATAGTTCAAGGCAACATACCAGACAATGTAAGGGAAGCAACAAAAATCAATGATAGCTCACATTTCTGCACTATCAATGCGTTGTAAGACATGGCCCATTATGGTATTTGGCAGAAAACATTTCTCTGCTGTCAAGGGAAACAACTGAAGCTTATCAAGAGATGAAGGGCTCTTGTAGGTATGCCCAGAAAATGGAAAGAAATTCTAGATTCTGTTAGATAAAATATGATCTGCAAAGGAGGGGCACTTTGGCTTAATTTGCTTTGCTTTGTTTTATTATTTGAAGAAAAAAACAGGCCCAAAAGTTTGTTATCAACACAACCATGAAGGAACACTGTTTAGGCTGATGTAGTAAAATAATATAGTTGAAAAAGCCAAGGAGCAGCTAATTAACAATTTAGTAAGGGACTTTGAAAAGAGTATAAGTAAGAAAATTTTGAACATAATTTTCCTCCTATTTTTTTGATTGATATAACATTCTTCCCTGTTTTATTTCTGTTCCAAACAATGATGATTAGATAGGTAGATTAGGGGAGTGTGTGTGTGTGTGTGTGTGTGCGCGCGCGCACGTGCGTGAGAGAGAGGGAGAGGGAGAGGGAGAGGGAGAGAGAGTGAGAGAGAGAGAAGGAGAACTTCTTTTCATTTTTGGCATAAGGTAGGACAGCATGGACTGGATACCACACTAAAGCTGTGCTCTCGAGCTTACCCCATTTGCTCTGCTGGCAGCTTGAAAATAAATGCTGTAACTTTTATGAGGAAGAAGAGGAGTATTCCAAAAGCCACTGTAGGTTTTGTTGTCACCAATAGTAAAAGGTTGAGCCATTTGAATGCTGTGGGCTGGAAACTCAGCTGCAAAATAATACTGGGAATTCAGAATTGAAGCGTTCTGGAAGTGAATTGGCACGGGGTAGCATTTCAGGATTTCTGTGGTTTTCTTGGTTCTGCGAGGGCGTTCCTCCTCAACAACTATTTGGTAGACACTAGCAAAGGTTGAAAAGACAAAAAATGAGAAAAAATGGGGTTAATTTAGAATTAAACCACTAGTTGAAAAAAAAACAAATTCTTAAATCATATGAACTAAAATTTATGATAAATAGTTGTATGTTTATGACATATAACACAGGCATACAGTACAAAATACAATACGTATTTATGTCTTTTGTAGGTCTGTAAACAAAGGACAGCTGACATAAGATTGTAAGCACAGTCATTATTTCACTTAACCACCAGTTTACTTAATACCTGAGGTGACAAAATGAATTATGTTTGCTAAATGAGGAATACCTATATTATCCTCATTCCCCAATCCGAACCCGATTTTCAAAGATGAGGTCTACTAGTAGAGGGAATTTTCCTGCTTTATTAAATCTGATCAGGAAGAGACGTTTCTGTTAGTCTTAAAGACAGTTAATTGTACATGAGAAAATGGGATGTTTTAAATGTCCCAACCTGTAGGCGATAATTCAAATCTTTCTTCAAAAACCTGCATAATTGCATTGAAGTATATAATGCAACATGTAGTTTGACCCAGAAACATAATCAAGTAAGACATCAACAGTGCTGATAATGCATTCAATTATTTAGCTTCAGAACATTGAATGACTTAAGAAAATGGAAATAAAGAACATTAGGATTTGGTTCAAATTTGAACATGAACTGACTCGATATATTGCTCTTAAAGATGTAGAAAAAATACAGTTATCCTTTCAACGTTATACCTTTCCTGAAGGGGAGCCCCTCATTTGGTATATCCTAACAATATGTATCACAACGGCCTTGCTTTTATATCATTTATAACGTATCACCCTTTATCCTAAATCTGTACTCTCAGTGGCAATCTGTTGTAACTATAATGTTGTAACAATTGTACCCACAAGATGTTCCAAGATAGTATTGCGTAAACCCTATAGGATTGTAAACTCACAGACTTCTGCTTTTATACTTTTCCATTATATACTTCTGTATTTGTATTTTTCCATCTTAACCATCTGTATGTATGAATACTGTATTATCCTAAGAGGAACTGAAACCATGCTATGAACTTGAAATCTATAAAACCTGCCTCAGGGCGTTGCTCGGGGCTCAGTATTTGCCAGGTTACTGCACTGGGCCTATTGCTAGCAATATTCAATAAAGCCTGTTTTCTCTGGATCTCCGTGGTCTTGTCTCCTGACTAATTTGGGATTAGTAAATCCCGCTTCATTCCGACTGATAAGAATCAGTCTGCAGTTTAAAAAATGTGGAAAGCTGAATGGAAAATATCATTCAGGTAAAGAGGTTCGTGTATGCTGCGCTCTAAAACATGTGAATTCATCCCTGAGATACATTAAAGAATGAAGCAAGTTGATTAAAGCAATTTCAAACCCAAAATATCTTTTCATCTTTCCCCTAAAAAGACAAATTAGATCTACGACCAACCAGACCTCAAATCTATTTGCTCTTTAATAATTTAAGCACTGAAAGGTCACAAAGCTCTTTTCTGTTCCCCTTTATCAACGTCCAAGTGGTAATGAAAAATTGCTAAATCCTGCCTGCTGTCCCATTTTCACACAAGACTGTCTTCCTGATGTAAATTACCACCTTATAAGCACCTAGGTCAGTGTTAACTTCACTCTATTCTATGAGTTATATATTTTAAAGCTGTACAAACGAGTTCGTGTTGTTAATGAATGTTACAAGATATTTTGAGTTACATTCATAACGTGAACTCTCTTTTTAAATCCTATTAATGGACATACTTTCTGGTGAGATATATATTAAGAAAATATGACTCTGGAAACCATTGAACCATATCTCTATATTTCTTTTCTACTATAATAATTTCCCAGATGACTAAAGTTGCACTAGCTCTTTTAGCACATTTAGTATTTCATCTATTGGGTCAGAAATAAGATTCACCTAGATTATATGTCTTCAGTAATGACTGACAGCATTTATCCTAATAAACACAAAAAAGGGTTCTCCACCTTCAAGGGAACTGAGTACAAAGGACCTTATGTGTTCTATTATTATGTCTTATGACTAATAGGGGGCGGCGGGATGGCTCAGGGTTTAAGATGCTGGGCTGGTCAGCTGGAAAGCTGGCAGCCTGGGTTTGACACCTGAGTGTCACGCAATGGGGTGAGCTCCCATCTTTGCCTGCCTGCAAAGTTCCAAAACATGCAAATGTGAGTCGATAAATAGGTACCACTTTGGTGGAGAGGAAACGGTATTCTGCGACATCATGGCCACATGATTACGGAATTGTCTTCAGACAGCACTGGCTATGGCCTTGAAATGGGGATGATCTCTGTCCCCTATAGTTGGTAGTTAGTTAGTTAGTTAGTTAGTTAGTTAGTTAGTTAGTTATGTTTGTATGCCGCCCTTCTCCCGAGGGACTCAGGGCGGTAAACAGCCATGGTAAAAACAATGTACAACAAAAATTAAAAGCTTATTAAAATAATTCAATCATTCGGCCAAATTTAAAACATCCAACTAAGATCATTTTAAAACCCCTATCAAAACCCAATTTAAAAAACCTTTATCCTGTCAGTCCAACTTGCTAGAATAATAGGGTCTTCAGAGCGCAATGGAAGGCACAGAGGTCGGAGATCCTTCGTATGTCCAGGGGCAGTTCATTCCATAGGGCCAGGGCCCCCACAGAGAAGGCTCTTCCCCTGGGGGTCGCCAGCCTACACTGTTTGTCTGAAGGCACCCTGAGGAGGCCCTCTCTGTGGGAGCGTATTGGTTGGTGGGAGGCAATCGGTGGCAGATTGCGGTCTTGTAGATAACCAGGTCCTAAGCCATGGAGTGTTTTAAAGGTGGTAACCAACACCTTGAAACGCACCCGGAAGACCACCGGGAGCCAGTGCAGCTCGCGCAAGATGGGTGTTACATGGGAGCGTTGAGTCACCCCCATTATTACTTGTGCGGCTGCATTCTGGACCAGCTGGAGCCTCTGGGTGCTCCTCAAGGGGAGCCCCATGTAGAGAGCATTACAATAGTCCAGCCGGGAAGTGACGAGGGCGTGAGTGACTCTGGGCAGGACGTCCCGATCCAGAAAGAGATGCAACTGGGAGATCAGGTGAACCTGATAAAAGGCCCCCCTGGCCACGGCCGTCATATGATCCTCCAAGGACAGCCGTGAGTCCAGGAGGACACTCAAGTTGCGCGCCCTCTCTGAGGGGGGTAAGATCTCATCCCCAAAAGCCAGCGATGGTGTCAGCTGGCTATATTGGGCCATCGGGAGCCACAGCCACTCAGTCTTGGAAGGGTTGAGTCTGAGCCTGTTCCTCCCCATCCAGATTCGCACAGCCTCCAGGCAGTGGGACATCATGTCAAGGGCATCATTGGGATGGCCTGGGGTAGAAATATAGGACTGCGTGACATCGGCATACAGTTGACATTTCACCCCAAAGTCATGGATGATCTCGCCCAGCGGCTTCACATAAATGTTAAACAGAAGAGGCGAGAGGACCGACCCTTGCGGCACCCCACAAGTGAGGAACCTCGAGGTCAACCTCTGCCCCCCGTCAACACAAACTGTGTACGGTCAAAGAGGAAGGAGGATGGTAGCGTAGCATGGTGCCCCCCACTTCCACCCCCTCTAGCTGATGCAGCATGATACCATGATCAATGGTATCAAAAGCTGCTGAGAGATTTAGGAGGACCAGGACAGAGGAGCAACTCCTGTCCCAGGTCCTCCAGAGATCATCAACCAATGCGATCAATGCCGTTTCCGTGCTGTAACCCGCCCTGAAGCCCAACTGGCACGGATCTAGATAGACAGCTTCATCCAGGAATCAAGGAAGTTGTTGCGCCACCACACTCTCAACAACCTTCGCCACAAAGCGGAGGTTGGAGACAGGACCATAGTTAGCTAATACAGCCGGGTCCAGGGAAGACTTCTTGAGGAGGGGCCTCACCACTGCCTCTTTCAGGGTGGATGGGAAGACCCCCTCACTCAATGAAGCGTTGGTAATCTCCTAACCTGAAATAGTAATGACTATTGGAGTACAATCTGCAGGGACTTTTTTTCCTTTTGCTATGACTAATAGCAATGTGCTAACAAATTCTAATTCATTATGAAGGAGTAATTTATCTAGAGTAAATATCTCTCCATGAGTACTTAAAATATCTCAGCACAGAAATAAACATAGAAAAGAAAATAATTCACCAGTATCTTATTGATTTTCAGACAGTCTAGATTTGGCATATCTTGTGAAAGATTGCATGAGACCAACGGAAAAATGACTTCCTGTCCTTCACAGAGGAGGCAACTAGAGTGATGGGAAAGTAGCCTTCACTGTACTTGAGTGATGAGCTTCAGGGACACTGGCAATCTATTTCCCAACCCACTGCATCTACTATTAGAAGCAACTACATTACCTTTAAAATGATAACAGTAGCCCTGATCTAGATTTATAGATCTTGTTGGTTACTAATTCTTCCAGTACAAAGTGAAGAAAATGTATTTTGCTTTTCAGAAAATTGCAACTGATTGAAATTTTCTTTCCCATTCAAACATATTTTTGAGATGGTTTATTACTATAATAGCCCATTATTTTGCAGTTCACATCTTTATTTAATGATAATTGTTCTTTTAAAAAAATCAATACTTTCTTATTTGAAAGGGCAGTAAATTCCCCCTCCCCCTTTACATATTGATTTAAACAGTTGTCTGGATTGTTTAAGATTAAACACATTCTGCTCTCTTGTTCAAAATAATTCTTTCAAACCTGGTATTAGGAAATTAGCCTTCAAAGCTGTTGATTGTTGATTTCATGTTGCTGTTTATTTTTTATTACTTTATCAGTAACTCAACATAGTAAACATACATAATACTACTTTCTCCTCCTATTTTCCCCACACAATGCTGTGAAGTGGGTTGGACTCTAAGAGAATGGCTCATGTTTTTTTCATGTCTAAGGCAGGACTAGAACTCACAGTCTCCTGGTTTCTAGGCCATCCCCTATTCTATTCTCACAGATGATACTCAATA